CCCTGGCCCCACAGGAAGCTCCACCGAGGCTTCATTTCGGCACACCCCTCTCGAGGATCGTAGCCCTGGCCCCGCAGGAAGCTCGAGGACGACAATGATAGGGATGTTGATCGCTGACGGATGATGAGGCTGAACATGCCGACGAATATGAGGGTCATGCTGATAATGATGAGGACGATGCGGACGAGGAGGAGGATCGGGGTGATGATGAGGGTCACGAGCAGGAGGACGATGATGAGGATGAGGATGACGAGTGAGGATGGTGAGGTCGAGGATGAGGACGATGACGATGAGGATTGTTGTGATGATGATGATGTTGATGATGATGATGACGATGATGATGATCAGGATTACGATCGTGATGTTGGTCATGCTGATGATGATTCTGTTGGCGATGATGATGATCATGATGATGATGATGATGATGATGATGATGATGGCTCACAGGATGGCGATGATGAGGACGATGAGCGCGAAGAGGCGGACGATGATGATCATCATGATGATGACAATGATGATTATGATGGGATGGTCGTCGTCGTCAGGGTCCTACAGGATTCCATCGGATTCCTATAGTAATCCTACCTGATTCCTATAGGATCCCTACAGGGTCGTACAGGATTGCGTCGATTTGTTTTGAATATTAGAGGATCCCTACAGAACCCTACAGGATTCCATAGGTCTCCTATAGGACTTCTTATGGGATCCCTACAGGGCCAGGGTCCTACAGGCTTCCATAGGAACCTCATAGGAATCCTGTTGGAATCCTATAGGATCCCTGCAGGGTCCTACAGGAGTCCATAGGCAACCAATTGGAATTCTGTGAGAATCCTATACGATCCCTACAGGGTCCTACAGGATTCCAGGATAATCCTCTTGGAATCCTTGAGAGAACCTCTAGGGTCCCTGCAGGTCCCTACAGGATTCCATCGGAATGCTATTGGATTCCTATTGGGATCCTATGGGGTCCCTACAGGGTCCAAGAGGATTCCATAAGAATCCTATCGGAATCATATTGGAAATCTTATAGGATCCCTACAGGGTCCTAGAGGAGTCCATAGGAATCCTATTGGAATCCGATGGGAAATCCTATAGGATCCCTACAGGGTCCTACAGGATTCCATCGACATCCTATTGGAATCCTATTGGAAATCCTAGAGGGTCCCAACAGGGTCCTACAGGAATCCTATTGGAATCCTATTGGAATCCTATGGGCAATCCTATAGGGTCCCTACAGGGTCCCTACAGGGTCCTACAGGATTCCATAGGAATCCTACTGTAATGCTATTAGAATCCTGTGGGATCCCTACAGTGTCCTACAGGATTCCATCGGAATCCGATTAGAATCTCATTGGGAACCCGTAGGGTCCCTACAGGGTCCTACAGGATTCCATAGGGATCCTATTGGAATCTCATTGGAAACCCATAAGATCCCTAGAGGGTCCAACAGGATTCCATAGGAAGTCCATTGGAATCCTATGGGGCTCCTATTGGAATCCTATAGGATCCCTACAGGGTCCTACAGGATTCCACAGGATTCCAATAGGAATCCTATTGGGGTCTTTTTGGATCCCTATAGGATCCCTTCAGTGTCCTACAGGATTCCATAGGAACCCTATAGGAGTCCTAGAGGATCCCTACAGGGTCCAACAGGATTTCGTAGGAATCCGATTGTAATACTATTGGAATCCTATGGAATCCCTAGCAACCCTATAGCAATCCCATAGGAATCCGATCGGAATCCTATTGTAATATTACAGGGTCCCATAGCAACCCTATAGGAATCCGAGGGGGGGTCTATAGGATCCCTACAGGGTCCTACAGGATTCCATCGGAACCCTGTAGGGATCCTTTAGGATCCTTTCAGGGCCCTACAGGATTCCATCGGAACCCTATAGGGGTCCTATAGGACCCTTACAGGGTCCTACAGGATTCCATCGGAACCCTATAGGGATGCTATAGGATCCTTACAGGGTCCTGCACGATTCCATAGGAGTCTTATTGGGAGGAGGAACACGCCTCGCTGGCGCGCGGTCGGTTTTCGGACACAGGAGTGCGTGGGGAACAGTAAGGGAGCCCACGGAGATTCGGAAACACATATAGATTTACGTTAGCGTATCACAGAGGTGTTGCGCGTTGCTCCCCCCCCCCGGGCAACAACTGCAACGTGTGGCCTGGGGGAGTGCGCTCGCCTCGGGGGCGAGGACACCGCCACGGGCCCCGCCGGGGTGGCCTGAGAGGGTGTCCTTGCGTTGTTGTTGTTCGGTAAGGCGTTGACACTGGCCCCAGCTTGTTGTTGAGATCTTCTTCTTCTTCTCTCAGAACTCAAGTGCTTATCGTTAAGGGTAAGCAAACCTCCAGCAACCGAGGGCTTGCCTCACGGGGCCGGAGAAGG